CGGTCGGCGGGGAGCGGCCCCCCTGCCAGAGGAGGACAGGCGAGTCTTCAGCTGTGCTCGCAGGAGGACACCGAGCTGGGGGGGCTGAAGAGCAGCCGAGGACTCCGGGTTCCTCTGGTTTGTGGAGAAGGGGCCGAGGGGCCACCTTGCTGCCCCCGGCAGCTCCCTGGGGGGTACGTCCAGAGGCTGGTGCTGAGCCCTTCTCTGGGGACCCAGGGACAGGATGCCTGAGAGCGGCTGAGGATGCACCAGAGGGGCTCTGAGGGGCCGTGGGGAAGCATTTCTCTACTGAGAGGGTGGTCGAGCCCTGGCACCAGGGAGAGGTGGTGGGTGCCCTGAGCCTTTGGGGTTTGAGATGCATTTGGAGAACACTGGGACCCGTGGTCAGCGTCAGGCGGTTGGGCCAGGTGAGCCTGTAGCTGCCTTCCAGCCGAGCTGTGGTATCTCCCCCCGGCAGCAGCCTGACAGCCTAGACCAGCAGCCAATCCCTGTAGGTGGGACTCTCTTTTGCGATCTTCCCAAGGGATTCGAATGGGCCCAACGACACTGAATATTCTGAAATTGCAGAAGACACACACAGTGATAACTGGCTACGAGGACAGTACAACCAGAGCAACACAGATTGCTCAGCACCCTGAGCAACGGGGTGACACAGGGAGTAATACAGGCAATAATTACACAGAGACAGCCTCAGCTACAGAAAATAATCACTGAAGACAAACACAGGAGACAAGCAGCTCAGCGTGAACAATGGCCTCTTGCACAACTGGAGGGGAAAGGTCTGAGATTTGACTCCAGGAGACATTTGTCATATTTCGTAGAAGATCTCAGGATATATATCTATGCGCGCGCGCACACACACGCACACACACGCACACACATACTGACAGGCCTGTTATGCTTCATCATTAAAGGAAACTGAAAGGACTAATCAGGACAGTAGATTTATTCCTTCAGATTTTAGTGTAAGAAATACCTTAGGGATGACAGTAGTGTAAGAACACCCAACGCCATTAATAAAGTTGAATGCCAAAAGGCTTCAACTTAAAAAAAACTTTCTACAGTCCTCCAGCCATCAGAAAGGCAGGTTCGTGTGAGCACTGCAGGGACCAGACAAGCCGTGGCTCCCAGCACCACCGTCCCTCTGTATTCTCCTCCTTCCTCCTCACAGACCTCCTGGCTGTACTGGATTAGAGAGGTCCTCGAGCACCGACAGCTGCTCCAGAGCTGCCCCACCACACGGCCCGCGGAGCTGCAGCTTCTGCCATTTCCGGGCGATTCACCCGACGACGGCCGTGATTCAGGGCTTTAACATTCTGGGGCAGCAGCTATGACTCAGGACACCAAGCCCTTCTGACGTCACAGACGGGAACTCTCGGTTCACAAACAGATCCAACAGTTTGGGCAGAAGAGTAAAAGGGGAAAAATGCAGGCAGACAACGAGGGCAGCGACGGCGAGTTCCTGCTTTGTTCGCGTTGCCGAATCGCTGCCCCGCATCCGGCTCTGTGCTCAGCAACGTCGTGGGAGTAGCTCCACAACAGCAAAAACCTTACAGGAGAAACAGCAATGTAGCTCTTCGTCCGTATAAGCGAGCGGTAAGGGAACTCAAGAAGAAGTTCAAGTGGATTTAAATAATTCAAGGGGCATGGGGGAAAATAGATTTAAATGCTGTTACTTCAAGGCATAACTTATCTCTACCGGGAAAAAAAAACAGAATATATATTTCCCCTAGGCAGGTTATTCCAATTGTCCAATGCATATTTTTTCCATAGATCTCACACATCTAGACATTTATCACTGAAAGAACACAGACTTTTGGAGAGATGCTCCATAGTTCACGTGATCTGTCAATTTTAAAAGTAAACATAAAAATACAGCAACGATCTGCAATTAAGAAAAAAAGTATAAAAATTGGAAAAAGAAACCCCACAATAATTAGACTGTCAGTACAGAATGAAATTGCACCATAAGGAAAAGAGATGAGGAATGGGGGCACATTAGGCCAGACGCTCGCAGAAAGCCATCGAGCTGATTAAGAGCAGTATGAATATGTTAAAAAGTCACCCTGGCCACCTGCTTGGGCCAGAGGAAAAGATCAAAGCTCTGCTCACCCTGCTTGGCAGAAGCTGGAGAACAGAGATAACACACCCACAGGCAAAGGGAACAACATGGCAGAGGAACATACTCCTCATTGAAGCGTGGCCGAACAAAAAGTAGACTATTTACCAACAGACAGAGGAAACAAAAGCAGCTGTCTCCGAGATTTGAAGCTAATCTGAGTATAACCAAAACAATCAAAGAATGCAAGATTCACTGCTAACAAAGGGGGAAAAAAATCCAACAAAACAAAGAAGCAAGCCTACTTCACGTTTTAATTAAACTGCCAGCACTGGCCTTTGCAATTATGGTAGTGGTAGTAAAACGCTTGAAAGGTGATAATTTAAAAAGATAATTAAAATAACTAGTGTAATATAACAATCTCAAGGGAAGGAAGACACCAATTATTACCACGGTTATACCAATCAACGCATACAGCAATCAAAAGCGTAAGGAAACGAAAATGTGACCATCACCAATGCAACACTTGCTCCTGCCAGACTGCTCCCCCACTGGAACAAGCCACAAATAAAATATATGAAAGTAAGTCTGAACTGGAAAAGCCGTGCTCCGGGTACTCAGAGGGAGATGGGCACCATTCTCCTCTCCTGAGCCGCGAACGGACCCAAGTGTCTGCAAAGAGCCCGACCCGGCAAACGCCTGCTGTCTCCTGCTGCTTCGAGACAGAGCAACCCAATGGGCCATACAGAGAATCACAGACTGTTGGGGCTGGAAGGGACCTGGAGAGATCCCCCAGTGCCACCCCCTGCCAGAGCAGGGTCACCCAGGGCAGCCCCACAGGAACGCGTCCAGGCGGGTTGGAAAGTCTCCAGAGCAGGAGACTCCACACCCTCCCTGGGCAGCCTGGGCCAGGGCTCTGGCACCCGCACAGGGAAGAAGGATTTCCTCCTGTTTTTGTGGAGCCTCTTGTGCTCCAGCTTGCACCCATCGCCCCTTGTC